CCCGAGACCTGTAGTTAAGGGTGAAGTACTCCCACCAATGCACCACAACCCATGTTGGTACGACACATCATGTTATTACTTAGGAGTATTTGTTTGCAGCCATAATGTTAATTTGAAAGGTGCGAGCACATGATGTGTTCATTACGAGTGCACATGAGGTAGTTATCAAATTATTATATTAAATTAAAATTCTTAATACCATAATTTTGATATTATGATATGATATACATTTTTTTTTTGCTATTTAGTGTGGTCTTCAATGTTTATAAATAATTATCAAAATACTGAAAATTGTATCAAAGTATATAATTTTATAAGGAAAAATCTTTTTGGCCAGAAAATTTGGATTAAAACTATGTATTTTAGATCATTTTCGGTGTACCCAAAAAAAAAAGTTTTGTTCAGATTCAAGTTACACAATGATTTTGTTGCAATCGAGGAGAAGTGAAGGGAAGAAAAAAATTGTTTGTTAATCTATTAACTTGTTTAAAACAAATAATACTATAATTGATTTCATTAAGAGTCTGTTTGGGTTAATTGATTAAAAATAACCCGTTTTTAATTAATTATGCACTGTCCATTCTATAGCTATATTTTTAGCACTTAATGTTTATCGATTAGTTTTATGGAAAATCATTCTTACACTTAGGATAATATAATATTTAAGAATGGTAAAATTAGTCCTTAAAAATATGATTAGTGCAATTTAATTATTTCATTTATTAGTTAAGCTTATTTTAACTCAACTCATTTCATCTCATCTAAAAGTTAGGCTACTATGGAGTTCAAATTATTCTATGAGAAATTTTATTAAAATATATCATAATGTATAGTCATAATAAAATAAAAAAAACAGTTTTAATAATTTATTTAACTCGACCGTTTGCTTTCATAGTTTTGTTGTGGAGATCGTCATGTGTATAGCCAAAAAAATCAATTACGAAACCTACTAAAATTTCACATATATACAAGTCAACTTGTACACATTAGTAATCATTTTAAAAAAAAAAAGGTTTCTTGTTATGATATTAGAGTCGGTCCATCTCAATTTTGATTTGCATGTAACTATGCCCTGATCATATCATATTTATTTACGCTCCAATTGTTAAATCTTGGTGAACAATGTTAAGCTCTCCGTCGACTTTTTAGAGACGAAATGATCTTTTTATGGGGTTTTAAATCTTGATGAGGTAACTTTCCAAAGTTTTGTTTTCTTATCTAGTCTCATTTATTATATTATATAATTATAGTTTTGTTTGAGATTGCACGATTTAACAATAACAATAACAATAACAATTTAATGACACCTCTTTAAACGTTGGGCGATTTCCAAAAAAGGGCCCACTCATCAAACAACCATTTGGGGTGGGCCATTAATGTTGGATGATTTGTTCATTTTAGTTAACTCTGAAATTAATAAGTGATCTATTTCCTATTAAATTTTTGATTTAAACTATAGTTCTTTAGGATTCGAACTCTAATTTGCTTTATATATTCAGGACTATATACTATGGACTATTATTTTCATAGGAAAATGTAAAATATACTTTTAAATTATGTGAAATTAAGTTTATATATCCGTGGTTAGTAGTTTAGCACAAATATGTACGTGAAAAAGAGCAAAATATGCTTTAAGTATACAAAATTGAACAGGTATGACTATGCTTATTTTTTTCACCATTGTTTCGATTGTCCTTTTATTATTATGAAATTAAATAATTAAGGCCTTACGTTATTCTTATAAAATAAAGAGAGAAAAAATACATACTAGGATTGATGTAGTTGGTAGTTCAATATTTTTTTTCTAATTTGGTAGTCGATATTTATATTTTAATTTGTTATATTTGGATTTACGTATTGTGGTCCCAATAAATTTGTTTCATTTATAGAAGGTTAAACTCAAAATCTTTAATTAAGAAAGAAGAAATTTGAGCCATCCGCACTCAAGAGTGTGGCCTATTAGTCAATGTAGTGACTAAGAACCCCAAGGTCTTCGGTTCAAAACTCAATAGAGACAAAAAACATTAGGTGATTCTTTCGATCTGTCATAATCTTGATTGATAGAGTTATCTGATACGTTTTGATGGCCCGGAAATTGGAGTTCAATCGTACTACTTACAAATAGAGTATACCTGAAGTTGGTCGATGTGTGTGATATGTCCTTTAATTAGAGAAAGTGACCTTGACATAGATAGGTATCCACTAGGATAAATGCAACCCAAATAATTTAATGCCACCATCTACCTGAAAACATGTAACCCTAATTTCTTATACCACATATTTTGTTTCTTATAAGTTAAATCTTAGACTAAAATTGTTATATATATATGCTCCAAGTTTGTCTAATTAAAGATGTTACACAAACTTCCTTCATTTTACTGAATCCAAAATTGGTAGCAATAAAAAGGAGCTACTAATTAGACATAGTAAAAATAAAATAGTTGTTTTGTAGGCTTTTTACAAAAAGAATAAATAAAATTTTGACATTTTTACTAGAAATCTTCATTTATACGTATAACAGATCGGAAAAGGCTCATTTTTCTTCTATTTATTTTGTAGTTGCCCAAGAAATCTTAATTCCTCAGAAAAAAAAGTGTGATTTTTAATATAGAGAAGAAGTAGTTTTTGACAAGGAGCAAATTCTTATATGTACTCAACGTTTACACTAATTATATTAACCTACTATAGTTAAGTGATATAATAAAAGAAAATACATTTTAAACCATAATTAGGTGAGAAAAGTCCATATACAAATACTATCTTTTATCTATTGATTTATTATAAATATCGGATGCAAATAATTTTTTTTTATTTTCACCTTGTGAAAAGGGCTCACCTAGCTAGCTAATTACAGGTAGGGGTCACAAGTCACAACCTAATTAAACCCCCACCACAAAGAGGGATTTTAATTTTTAATCAAAATTGTCTTGTATTTTAATTGAAATTTGTTAATGCAATGTAGTTAGTGGGGAGTAAATTTTGGCTACACAAGAAGAAAAAGTCTCACACAACATATGGCCCTAGAGTGATAGATAGTAACCAAATATAGCAAAGTGTATCATGAGGTTTCCCCTACCCTTTACCATAAAAGAATTGAGTAATGGGTGATGGTGAATAGGACATCACATGGGAGTCTTGTTCCTATGAATCACAACTTCAAGAGATCATGGAAGGAAAAAAATAATCTAATAATTTAAGAGAGAGAAGTACTTTTAGGTATGGGGAGACTTTTTTTCCTTTTTCTTGATTTGACCATCTGATATTTGAAATCAACTGAATTTGATTAATCAGGATTTACACTATGAGTAGAATATTCAATTACCGAAAGGTTTGTCGCACAAGATCGCTAATAAAGAGTAGGGAGAGATCTCGTTTGATCATCTCATGCCTATCTCGCTCATACTTTCTGAAATAAAATATGGGATACACGTGTCAGATCCTCTAATAATGCATTAATACTATTGGAGGATTCAAAGATGCATTCTGTCGCAATTTTGAAAAGTCTGAGCAATAGTTAATAGTCTCTCTCTCGGAGATCAACGACGGAGGTAGAGTAGAAGGTGGGGGTCAGTGGTGGATTCAATGTCTTAACTACGTGTTCATGTGAACCAAATAGCTTTTGTTCATACCTTATATGTGTATTAGAATATTTTTTTATAGTGAACCCAAAAGAACATTAAATTTTGGATCAACGCTTCTAATGGGATTCGATTGGTAGAACATGTACAATAACTTTAGTTCAAACATGGTTTATTTGAAAAGGCTCATTTAACATGTACAAATTCTTAATTTAGAATTGAGTAACTCAAAAATAGAGAAATCTTAGTCGATTAGTTGGTTGACCACCTCAACTTTCACGTTATTTATTAGAATTCAATTCTCGTCTCGTAATCCCTTCTCCTAACTCCATTTTTTTTTAAAAGATTTAAAATAAAACTCAAAAATGACTGCAAAATTGAAAGTAAAAAAAAATTATACATAAAAAGGGTTTTGCTAGTTTTGTATTTCTCTACTCTATTTAAACTGAAGGTTGACTGCACTTACAACAATCTTACTCAATTTCCATTAGTTGTCACTTTTCAAAAGAGACTCTCATTGTCCCTTTTCCCCATAACTTTTAGAAAAATGCATAATTAAATGGAGTTTGATCAAACTATACACCTAAAGTTTTACACCCTCCTTTTGCTACTTCCCTTGAGTACCACTTACCTACACCTCCATAAAAAATAAAAAAAATAAAAATTATACTCTGTCTTAAATAATTTGTCGTAATTTTTTTTACATGTTCAAATTTACTTGTGGATCTATAGACTTTTCGGTATCCGCATTAGAGCTCAATTATTTCGGATTCATGACGCGTAGGCCCCATTTCGGGGAGAAGGGCTCCCTACCAAGAATTTTTTCATACCTATGGCTAAAATTCGAGACCTCTAATTAAGGGAGGAACAACCCTATCCGCTGCACCTCATCATTTGGTAGTGGATCTACAGACTACACTAAGTACTACTAGAAACAAATATTTTTCTACCACAAATCAGTGAGAAATTTGTAGAACATGATTTCCCACAAAACTAGCTTTACTGGGTAAATACATAATGAAAATTAGATTCTCACTGAAATAGTGAAAAACTTCTTAATACTTCCATATGAAATGATTATTATTTTTTCCTTTCTCATTGATTCAATTAAAATATCTATAAAAATAATCACTACATATTTTTCAATGAGAAATTTAGTGTAAAAATGACGATTTTCTAATAGTAACCAAGTATTTTGTTGTTGATTCTCATTTACACGTCTCTAAAGAAACATTAATTGGAAGAAATATTAAACTATTTTACCCTTTACATTATCACGACAACTAATTTGAGATGAAGAATAATTTAGTAGTGTATAGACATACACTCAAAAAGTAGTATATTTTAGTTGGACGGTCCAATTTTTTCCTTTCTATAACTACCCTTCTGCTTGTTCAACTCACTTCCATTTTCTGCAAGCTCTCCTGTTCAAACCTATACAAAATAGGAACAAATTTGAAGAGAAAAAAATAAAATAAAAATCTCTAGGTAGATTTTCTTTCTTTCTTTACCCTATCTTTGCTATATCACCATTATTTTTAATAAATCAAGTAACAAGAAAAATAGTCGGAAAGAAATTGTTGTTTTGCTTCTTTTGGATGCTACAAACACATACACAAAAATATTATTAATTTTTTCTTTAGACTATAATTTCCCTGATTGAGTGTGTAATTTAGCTAACGAGATCGCGATATTTGTTTTGCTTTTTTCAGCTTTTTAGATAGAAGACGATGGTTTTTCCTAATAATCAGGAATTACTCGTTGATGAGTCGTCTTCTCAGTTGAGGAAAACAGGTGCAGGCGGAGGAGGACGAGGGAAGATTGAGATTAAAAGGATCGAAAATACGACAAATCGACAAGTTACGTTCTGCAAACGTAGAAATGGGCTATTGAAAAAAGCTTATGAACTTTCTGTTCTTTGTGATGCTGAAGTTTCACTTATTGTATTTTCCAGCCGCGGCCGTCTCTATGAATATGCCAATAACAGGTTTGTTTATTTTATTTTTCAACAAGATCTGCTTTTAACCCTAATGAAGAAGAAATGTGACAGATCTTTGCCTTTTGTGTGTGTGTTTTTTGATTTGGGTTTTTTTTTTTAAATCGATAATAGAGGGTTGCTTAGATGGTAAGCACTCTCTGTCTTCAATTCTAAGATTATCGGTTCAAGTCACTATGAGACCTAAAAAGATGGGAGCTCGTAGCGAGAGGATTTTTTTTTTTCAGATGGGTTGATCTATGTCAGACTAGATAATTTGTGTGATTTTTTTTTTCTTTTTGACATAAGAGGGTGACTATGGTGTTTAGTTAAAAGATTGAGTTTCTTCCATCACAAAGATTTGCTTGTCTAATCCTTAATTTTCTTTGTTTTTTTGTTTCATTTCCTTTTTGAGCTTCAAAAACACTAAACTTTCCTTTGTTACTTCTTTGAATTTACAAATAGATCTGTTGATTCGAGCCGTGAAATTAGTAATTGATGTGGATTCTTTTATTTTAAACTTCTTGAGAGTACGATTCTTTCTAGAATTTGAGTAAACAAAAATATTTTGTGTGTCGGACTATCTAGATATAGATTTTTATAAGATAAATTTACAAGTAGGGTTAAGATAGATAGAGAAATTCTTAAGCTTACAAAATTTATTCCCCTTTTCTCTCTATCTCTGTATTTTTTTGGGCATCTTTGCTACTAGTAATTTTTTCTCTCTCTTCCCAATTTTTTCTGTTTTCTGTAAGCTGTCAAGTTCTGATTTGTTTTCCATCAACTCTTCCAATTGATGCTTCCTTAATATAACATGTCATTTCAGAGATCACAGAACCAATAGCCTATCAGATTACAGATTAGGGTTTCAGGTACACCAAAAGAGTCAAGTTGCTTTTTTATTTTTGGGTGGAGCGAGGGGATCGAACTCTCACCAATAAGGTGAAAGTTAAGATATTCAATCAATTGAGTTACTAAAATTTTTGGAAAAAAAGGGACCTTTTTCAGCTCGTCAAAATTGAATTAGGATAATTTTGACAAACAAGACAATTTCAAACTAACTAGTGGGAGTTGCTCGAATTGTAAGTACTTCTCATTTTCAATCTTAAGATTGTGAGTTCGTTCGAATCACCAAGGAAATGAAAAAGGTGGAAGTTCTAGATAGAGATAAAAAAAAGCAATTCATTCTGCCTTTGTTTTTACCATTATAGCCCTTCAATAACAGAGATCGGTTTTATGTTTATGAGTTCTGATTTTATTTTTCTTAAAAATACTTTACAAAGTATTTAAATTAATTATATATATATAAAACCAAAATTTTAAACACAAAAACAAAGCTTAAGTAAAAAATTACTAAATTCTACCGAACCCACGAGCAAATTGTATCTCCCCGCTAATCCCTCCTTGCTTTGTAATTGAAGTAAGGACAAATATTCCCCTTCTCTTTGTTTTGGTGATATCGAAGGTCTCTCCATCATATGATAATTTATTTATTTTTATAAAGAAAGGGTATAAGTTTATTTGAATTGAGCCTTATATATTTGTTAAAAAATTATCCCCCTTTGGCTCAATTTACGTAAAGAGGTTCAAAATACAATAGTTAAAACATTTATTTTTTATTATGAATTAAAGTATATATTTGAAAAAGTATACAAAATATAAATCAACATATTAAATATTCAAAATATTTAACAATTAGTTTGAGAAAATTTAAAAGAAAAAATTGTTTAACTCTCCAACCAGTAACTCCTCGATATAAAATGGGATGAAGAAAATATTAAATAAATACAAATAATTAATTACAACCTCAGTAAATAAAACATATCATAGTCAAAAGTTATAATTTAAAAGGGCATGATATAGAATTTATTTAACTTCCAATTTCATGGTAGTCAAAAAATATTTATTTATTTCTAAAATAATTTTTTTATAATTTCTTGAAATGTGGGGTTGAAATATAGGGGTTAGGGTTTCATGTGATTATGAGCATAAGACATCATATAATAGGGAGTTAGACACGCATATTTGGTCACGTCACAATATTTTGTCATATATTTTTTTTCGACGGTTCAAAAATATCAAATTTTCATCGGGGTTTCCAACTAGCCAACTTTCAACGGATTTTGTCAAAAAATTCAATTGGAAATCTACACTTCACGCAATTACGATATAGTGTCACATAAACTAAAATAAAAATTCTTTTAAGTATTTGGTATTTCCTTCTTAGTTACATATCTCTTGCGTTCTAGCTCAACTTTGACTTGAATCTAATGCTTATTACCTAATCTAGTGGGATAAATTTTACTAGTTAATTAGAATCGGAAGAGTTGATTTTTCAAATGGTTATTAAATTAATAATTATTATCTTAAAAATCACCTCTCCTTTTTATTCCAATATCCTTTAAATAATCAAGTGACTTTTTGTGATACTTTCTCCCTTTCAATTGGTTTGTCTTATTGAAACTTGCTACGGAGTTTAAGAAAGTAAAAGACATTTTAAATCTTATGGTTTTAAATTAAAGATATGTCAAATGTACCACAAATAGAGTTTTACTTTTAACCTACTAAGAAAAAATAACTCTTATTTTCCTATTTTATCCTCAATATTAGTTACTTACTATTCTTCAAAATTGTTTCTCAAGACTAAAGACTAATAGGCTATACATATATCAATTAATATGAGTATTGTGGAAACAAATTCATTTCCACAATACTCATATTAATCATTGTTTCTTAAGAGACATTAAAAGTATAAAATAAATTAAAAAATTATTATTATTATTAATTGAGTGATCATACGAGAAATTAAGTGATAGCAGTAAGGAATTACAATATTTATGAAGACCTACTTAAACTAAAAACTTTTTGATTAATTTTTGGTATTCTATTTTTTCACCATTTGTTGGTGAATTTGAGTAGAGAGTTACATGGGGAAGAATGGCTGCTGACTGCCTGCAATCACACACACAGTGGGTGAGTGGGATCAATTGAATTCCTTCAACGAAAATTATACTGTATAAATAGATTAAAAATAATTTCTTATAACTATACATAAATTATTGAATCTCTTGACATCGAGGAAGATTCTAATTTAGTGGCAAAGAATGTTTTAGGAAGGAGCTAGCTAGATCTAGAATTTTTAAGTTACTGGGTTTTGAATTTTAGAATAATATAGTAACATTTTATTTAGTAGATAATAAATAGATTATGTACCTATGTTAACATAAATACATGATTTAGGCTAATGCTATCAAACACCTAATTTGTATTGTAGATCCAATCCTACCTTAAGAAGTTTAGGGTAGGGTTATATTTTAGGTATTATTATAATTTTTATATAAATTTCGGACTCTGTTATTATAAGAGTGGATTTAGGGCACAAGCAGGTTTATGAAAATCGAATACCTCTTGCACAAATCCTGTATATATCTATTAAAAAAAATTCATCCAAAATCATATTTTGAACTCGGTTACTATTATATACTTCTTCCGTTTCAATTTGTCTGTTTTGCTTCTTTTTTTTTTTCTTTTTTTTTCTTTTTTCTGTTTCTTAAAGAATGTCTCTTTCCTTCTTTTGACAAGTCTTTAATTTTAACTTTTCACATGACATGTCAAAATCAGACAAATAAATTGTAAAGACGGAATATTACGAAAAGGTAAAAAAAATTGGGGGAGAGATCTCGAGGTGGATAAAAGGGTTTTCCTTAGGGTATTATTCAATGGGTAAAATGAAGAAACATTGTAGCCAATCATGTTGTTGGATCTTGAGCCAACGTGGCAGGGAACAACCAATCACTAGCTCGACGAAATTAAGGTTACAGCTGCCTTAATTCCTCTTACCTAAAGTGCAGGAAGGATTACTTGTTCATCCTTTTAACCCAGAGGATAAAAGAAGACTCACAAATCACAATTTCCAAAACTCCTCCTCCATCTCATTTGATGTGGCATCGTTCGACTTAACATGATATTTAAGGGAATTTTTTTTTTTTTTTGAAAAAAATTTATGGTTTAAAAATATTTCTTCGACATTTGTGTAGTTGTAAATTATTTTGTCAAAGAGTGAAAGAAGAATTTTGAAATTAAAATTATTTTTAGTTAGTAAGGTGATATTTTTTAGGGACAGACTTAATAAAAAATGATGCCACATAAAATGAAACATGGAACGAAGAGAGTATAATCTTTAGGCAGAAAGCTAATTACTCCCTACTTCTGTGAAGAATTTAACTTTTGATTTTGACTTTTTAAGAGGAATGTAGAACCGTCAAAAATACTCTTTGAATTTTATAGTTTTAAAAATATGGAAATATAACATTCTTTTAAACGAATATTAAAAAGTTAAAAAAACACTTCTCCTTTACTTTTTACCTAGGTCAAAATCAGTTTCAGGCTATCCAATTTTTTTTAAAGGTTAGTTCTTGTAATTGTAATAGTCTATGTTGCTTGGATTCATCAAAAATGTGGACGGATACGTGTAAGATTCTCCAAAAGTAGTGCATTTTTGGAGAATCTGACACAGATAAGGCAACAATTTTGGAGAGTCCGAGCAACTTAGTTAATAGTCATTTCCTAACTTATCATACAAAGAAAACATCACTTCATCCTGCAACATGCATTTTGTTCTAGGCGTCTACATCTAAAAGATTGACAAAGACATTTTGTTTAGTTGTTTAGTCTTACAAGACATATTTAGTTCTGGAATTTAATACATTTTTTTTTCTCAACAAACATAGTACTATCAAAGAGAGAGTACTAAGTTTTAGTCTTGCTGCCATCTATACTCAAATGAAATTTCTATATATTTGGTTGCATTAAATAAATAAAAGTATGCTATTGTTTGATCTAATAAATGATTTGTTTTGTGATTTGTGTGTATTTAATTTGCAGTGTTAGGGCAACTATCGATAGGTACAAGAAACACCATGCTGATTCCACAAGTACTGGATCTGTTTCTGAAGCTAACACTCAGGTAAACTTGTTTATATAAACCACTATGTTTTTCGATGTAATTTTTTTAATTTTTAATGGAATCATCCACCTAGGGTTTCACCTCTCGTGCATCAAAGCACAAGTATAAACAAAAATATCTTAGCACTATCAATATATTGTCCGTTTTGGCCTGATATCCTCTAGACCACTTCAAGGATTTTTAACCTCGCGGTTTTGTTGAGTAAGGCTAGCTCAAGGTTCAAGTAGTAGAATCAACTACTTAAGATGCAATACAATAGGTCGTGGGCTCGTGGCTTCCCTTCTTAATGGGGATAGAGGCCAAGGGTGAGGTTGATAGGTTGAGTCAAAACAGACAATAACATGAAAATTGGGGGCTTGGATGTTAAAAATGGTAATAAAGTTTGTACCTTCCTTGGTGGTACTATGAGGGGGTAAACCTCAACAAAGACGTTACGTCTCTAAAAGGGAGGATTAGAGCTGTCAAAAAGGGCCGGCCCAGCCCCACCAAGCCCAAGCCTCGAGGGCCAAGGAATTTGAAGGGCTAGGGCGGGACGGCCCTTCATTTAGTAGGGCCTGAAAATGCTCAACCCAACCCTAGAAGGGCCGAGGGCTGGGGTGGGCTAGCCCTTCTGTTTCTCTTTTTAATTTTTTTTTTCTTTTCAAACTTATAATTCTATAACATCAAAAAATGAGAAGATTTTCAAATCAAATAAGACAAACAATGATGTTGTTTCAATAACACTAACAAAAATCTAGTGTAATTAGCATGTATCTCGCATATTGGATATGCGAGTGAGACAAGCAAGATAGGAGAGAGGCGAGGGCGCAAGATTTGTATATGTATCCTAGATACATGTGAATCTACTTGGATAGAGTGTATCTAGAACAAATTAACCCAATTTTGAGTCCATATATTTCGAGATACTATCTGGGTACGAAGATTTATAATATTACAATATAGCGTGTATTCAAATAATTAGATTATATACTAGTAAGATTATTGTAAATTACTCTTACATAAAAAGTTTTGGCCCATGGGCCAACCCCGACCCAGCCCCGATCAAGCCTCAAGGGCCAAGGGTTTATATGGGCCGGGCTTATAAGCCCTAGTTTTAAATAGGCTTGAAAAATTCTATCCCAACCCTTGTCCAATAACGGGTAGGGTTGGGCCGGCCCCATGGGCTAAGCCCATTTTGACGGCTCTAGGGAGGATGGGGAGGGGAGTGTTACAACCTACAAATAATTACTAATTGTTGAACTCAAAAGGGTATTCGCTAAACTCAACTGTTGAGACGTCTTTTCATTTAAACCTTAGACAAAATGGTGAGGTCCAAAAGTCTTAACTAAAAACACACAATACTTTACTAGTTGACTTGAACCGTTACACTTACATTTTGTTTTAGTACCAATTGTACAGAGAACTAGATATTTTCTGATCATCATAAAATTAATTGAATTGAACAACTTTTGTATATTCCTCAGTACTACCAGCAAGAAGCATCCAAACTGCGACGACAAATCCGAGATATCCAGACTTATAACAGGTGAGTCTAAATCGGACTTCTCTAATATAAATCATTGTTCACTATCAGAAAATCGCTAATTTTCAATGAATTTTTTTTTGTTGGAATTTAACAAAATGGAACATTGAAAATTAGCGATTTTCTGATAGTGACAAAAGTTGGAGTAGTAATAAATAATGATGATGACTAATTATGATTTTTTTTTTTGTTTTGTTTAGGCAAATAGTTGGAGAGGCTTTGAGCAGTTTAAGCCCTAGGGACCTCAAGAATTTGGAAGGGAAACTTGAAAAGGCCATTGGTAGAGTCCGTTCCAAGAAGGTAAATAATTCAACTTTTTGTTGGCTAATTTCAATTTTTTTATTATTATTACAAGGCAAAAAACTGACATATTTATTTTTTCATTTTCCAGAATGAATTGCTTTTCTCTGAAATAGAGCTCATGCAAAAGAGGGTAAAACTGCTAATTTATGTGCTTTCCTTATTTACATACTTTGACAAGTTTTCTAATGGGTCCATAAAGACTACATACTTTTTTTTTATAACTATGGTGTTCAGGCCAGCTTGCGCGCACTTTAACTAATTTTACAAGCAATAGGTTATCTAGTAGTTTTGTCTCGACTGTATTCCGTGAGACATCATGAACTCAAAATCCATTTCATTGACCAGTAGTAAACCACACCCTTGAAAATGCAGAATATAGACGGCATACTTAAATCAACCTAACGTTTAGATGAGTCAAGATAAATTGAGCTAATAAATAAATAGATCATTAATTAACTTATCCAAATTTTATTTTCATGAACTAATCTTATCACTTGACAGGAGATTGAGCTGCAGAACGCCAACATGTATCTACGAGCAAAGGTCCTATTCTTTTCTCTATGCTTTTATATAAAGTCCGGAGCCAAAAGGGCAAAATCGCTCCTAACGAAGCGATTTCCCTCTGACACAATGACGAAAAATCACTGCTCTGGCAGCGATTTTGTCTAAAAACTTTTTTCTTTTTTCTTTTTTATTAAAAATCGCTGACCTAGCAACGATTTTGAATTTTTTTTATTCAAAATCGCGATTTTGTAATTTTTTTTTTTTTTATTTATTAAAAATCGCTGCTGTGGCAGTGATTTTAAGTCAGAATTTTTTTTTCCTTACACATCGCTGCTGCAGGGGCAGCGTTTTTCATGCCTAGTGCTATTATATTCATGACTATTGTTAATTATTAATAATATAAAAATGATAAACAAGACGGACAGTATACTCAATAAAATTGTTGAAGCATGAGGAAAATTGAATTATATATCATAAATAATAATAAATTGTTCCTGACGGAGCGATTTTGCCCTTTTGGTTAATTTTTTTTTGATGTGCCGTTTTAGTTTTTTGAAAGAAAAAAGTTGCCCTTTTGGCTCCGAATTCCTTTTATATACGCACTCCTTATGATAGGACTCTACTAGTATGGACGTTTGACCATGTTACATTGTGAAATTTAAATTAAAAAAAATAGTTTGTCTTTAAAATGGAAAATAATATTTAAAAATTGGAATTGTGTTTGACCATGAATTCAAATTAAAGTTGTTTTCTTCTTTCTGTGAGTAATTTGGAGTGAATAGTGGAAACACATTTTCGTTGTTTTTCAAATTCTGGATTTCAACTATGACAAAACGTGCTTTTCCAGAGTTCAACTCCGAAAAAGTGAAAAAATTTCATGATCAAACGCCTCCTTAATCAATAAGGTAATTCTTGTTTTAACTTAAAAATTAATCCTTGAAATGTACATATGTAGCAGATAGCAGAGGTAGAGAGAGCACAAGAGCAAATGAACTTGATGCCTGGAGGCGGCGGAGGTGGAGGAGGAGGATCTGATCAATACCATCATCAGCCAAATTATGAAGATGCTCGCAATAACTTCCTGCCTGTAAATCTCCTGGAACCAAATCCCCATTACTCTCGTCGCGACGATGGTGACCAAACTCCTCTCCAGCTTGTGTATGCTTCTCTTCCTTCTTAACTATAATTTTGCAATTTATTTATAATCATTAGTTAGACTCACATGAGTGATAAATTTTACTAAAACTTATTATGGTTTTAAGTGTGGATTGAGATTTTATACCATGAAACAAAAACTTGTTATGGAGGAAGGTGTGAGCGTTTACCTCCCGACAAGAGGGAGTTGTTCAGATGGTAAACATTACTTACTTTCAATTCTAAAGTGTGAGCACTGAGCACTCCATATTTCTAATCTTAAGGTTGAGAGTTGAGTTATCAAGAGAGCAAAACGGGTGGAAGCTCTCTATTGAGGGTAGAAAAAAATAGAATCTTTACCTTTTAGTCAGATTAGGATGTGAAACTCACGAAAAAATGATAGTTCAAATATGTTTTTGACTATTTACTCTGAAACTTCAATTAGTTATGAATTTGCACCTACCTTGTGGAGGCTTTGTCACAGCTGGGATAAACTAATCCCATTGTAGCTTTGATAGTCCAAAGAATCTGGAACTTCATTTTAGGTATATAGAATTGTTTTTGGTCTACTTACCAAAACCAGGGTCAAAGCTACAACTTTGCCCAAGGAATTGGTAGAATCTAATAATTTTGGCTCAAATCATATATTTCTGTTTAAAAGTTTACCTAAAATGTATTGAATGATTTGTCGAGAACCCAATAAACAACATAGTATGCATCATTCATGGTGCTATACTAGAAAATACTTTATTTGAAGACGGTGATTCATTCTGTGTTTTTAACCTAACTCAAGCCAAAAAAATTTGTTCAATAGTCACCACTAACCACTTTTGGTGTCAAATCTTTATAGTTGTTATTTTCAATAAACGTTGGTTACTACTTTTTACGTTTTTCATACCAATAACTAATTATAAATGAGTGTACTTCAAGTCTAGTGAACCTTTAGCATTGACTCGACGGGTGGGCGGAGCGGAACTTCTTTTGTCATAGAGGTGCAACAACAAAAGATTACTTGTAAATATTTTCAGTCGCTCCACCCATTGTCTTAATGTTTTGTGTCCAAGGCTCAAGACTTTCTTACTTTTTGTCTTCATTTATATGTGTTGTAACTAAAGAGATTGTCCAAATCTTAAAGAAAGACAAGAAACTTTGTCTAATCTAGAAGAACTAAGGCTATGGTCAGGGGAAGATGAACTGATGGGGGTTTGCCAGAACACAATTAGAAGAGCGTGAATTTCGTATTTGTGTTAAGAAATTCACTTAATAGACAAAGAATCTTATCTAGAACATTGTGATCCAAAATCCATTACCTTAGCTAGCGTTTGACTATAGATTTTGGATCAAATTCACTCGCATAAAATTCTAGATCTAGCTATGGTGGAAAGTTTTATGAAGTTTGCAAAAAATTGAGAAGCTTGTATCTCTCATGTATAGCTAGCCAACAACATACCATCCTCTTAGCTTTTACTTTAGAAACAATGTTGAAGTTGAGCACTTGTACGTATGCAAGATACAAGTAACTTCACTACTAGAAATAAATACTTTTTTCATTGCGAATCAATCAAAAATTTGTGTTATAAATTATGATTTTCCCACCAAACCAGTTCATTGTGAAAACACATGATGGGGAAACAGATTGTCACTGAAATACTATGGAACTTCCTAATTTTTTTCTTTTGAAAACACTAGTGTTTTTTATTTTCTCACCGATTCAATCAAAATATTTGTGGAAATAGCTACTGAATACTGATTTTTAGTAGTGCTTAATTACTTCAATAATCTTTAACTGATTATTTCCCCATTTTTTGTCTTGGCTGGTGTTATCTCTGCAGCTGATAATCATGGAGCAGGTTTTCTGAAATTTGGGGTCAAAGCTCTTCCTTCATCTTCAGAAATGTGTACTACAATTTTTAACCTATAGTGTTGTAAATCAATCATAATTATTGCCACTGAGATTTAAACTGTTTATTTTCAAGCAATATTATTCAGTATTCTGTTAATTAAGGAATGAAAAATCTTGTTTGTTATATTATGACTACTTCTATATACTTTTACAGGCTTCTATAAATAAAAAAACTATTGAACTATACAATAATCTTTAGCAAGCTATTTTGTTAATTTATTTATCTTTATATCAAAGAATATAATGTTTAGAAAATAAGAATGATGTTGAAACATTTATGAGAATAATTGACATACTTATTAAAGCTTTTGAAAACTTTACAGTGTGTTTGTTACTTCATAAAAGTAGTAGGAATAAGTAAAGTTGCATATGTTTGAAATATTCTTCAGAAATTCTTGAAGAACTATGAAATATCTTGGATAAATATTTAGGGAACTTTGATCTGTTTGTTTGGTTATTCTGCAGCTCCTAAGTCTCATTACGCGTTGTTTCACTCACTAGAAGGATATACAAACAGCAGATATATAAGTCAGTGAATGTCATCCCCCAAATCAAAACAAAAAAAAAACAGTATTCTGCAAATCTTTAGAGCATTGATTTAGTTCATCCTACAAGAAGAACTAGTAGAAATTTCGGAATAAGTTCCTATAAACATACAAGATATTGACAAGGAATATATAGCCACTATCAGATTTCACTTGACCTTCGTTAGAAACACTTCCTGTCTTGAGTTGTTGACGATCATCTGCCCATGGTGTCATTATTTAAGATTACTTTCTATCATAGATGAAATTAAGCTACATATGACCTCAATATAGAGAAGAATAGAGTTTTCAAAGAGTAGAACTAAGATATTGTTATATATATATTTAAGGAAACGTACGTGGAAAAATACTTTTACAATACCTATACCTATATAAACCTATTGCATCTCGAAGGTTGTCAAACATTATCTAGTCTGAGTGGTATATGGCATGCTAGCTTCTCGTCTATACAGGGAGACTACTGTGTGGTCTGATTGGAGACTGAAGGCTGTACCTTCTTCCCTCCAACTCAGAATATATATCGATGATAAATTCTGATACATTTCACGTTGAGAGTGAGACTTTGTCCCCTTAATTGTTCACTCCATGATTCCACATTTCCTAATGAATTCATTTGACATATTTACATGGCGGCTCCACAAGCTTCGTATCTCAGGGGCCCCAATCTCAAGCCATGGCTTGGCTGGTCCACTGAAATGTACAACTGCTCCATCTTCCAGTACAGATTGTGTAACATTAATAATGGATCGATAACCTAAACCAGCAATGTGCCATGAAGGATCAATCCGGTGCACATGACCCTCAAAAGCAATTAGAGAAGGTGGAAGTGCTCCAGGATTCCACAATTCAAAACCAGAGTTCAGGTTCTGTAAGATAGAATTAAGAGAGGTCAATGTCGGGGCATTCTGCAGACATTGAAAGAAGCTACTTAAACAAATAAGAACGACAAAAAGAGCTAGAATTCCATTAGATCGATTGTTCCTCTTTTGTTTGAGAAGAAAAGCTAACACCTTATTGATAAATGTTTCCAATAGCATGAAAACCTGTCTGAAAAGATTTAAGCTAACAATCGTGTAATTTCACATGATAATAGCCACAAAATGCGCAACTTGAAACATTATGCAGGATTCCACAAAAGAGGATTCCAGTTGTGCTCTAGATGTTATCTATGTGGAGACAAGCCTGAGCGTATCAATCATTTATTTCTGAACTGTCATCTCACTGACCAGCTATGACAACTCTTTCTTAATATGGTGGGACTAAAATGGAGCATGCTAGGGTGTAATACTGAAATGTTGGGGCATCAGAGGAAAGAATGCTCAACTTGATATATTCTGCAGCAGCAGCTACGCATAAAGCATTGCTCGACTATTGATGAGATCAAGTAACAAATAGGCATTTAGAACGAATAACAATGCAGTTTATAGTTTTGATCTATAACTAATTCTGGTTGAACTATACTTACAAGTTTAAGCCAGTGATGGTAAGTTGCAGTGATGTTAGTCTTCCTCCAAGCCTGGAGATCAAAGACATTCATTCCATAAAGCCATCCGCAACGATCATAATCCAACTTAGATGATATAATAGGACTCGTAAAATTAAAGTAATCCTTGTACTTTCTTCCAGGGCAACAGTCATCTCCACAGCTCGAGTCAAAAGCTGCACCAACAACTTTCCCATTGAGATCAAGTTCCCACAGAGACGATAAATCATGCTGTACTACAGTATCATCGTCCAAAAATACAATCTTGTTCAGGTCTGGGAAAAGCTGTGAACCCATGAAATTATATAAAAAAATCAATTATTCATTAAATGTCCATGCTCAAGATCATCCTTTTGTCAGTGAAAACAATGTTAAATAAAGTTATTACCTCGGGGATATAGATGCGCAGATGATTCAAGAGGGATGTACAGCTAGGCCGTAGATGCTGCAAATCTTTTTCATGTTCATACTTGTTTGGAATATTTTCCATTTTCATGCTGTCAAGCTTGTGGCTACAGATCAATCGATGAATCTCTATCATCTCCTTAATCCCAATATTCACCTCATGAGACCAATCATACTGATGCAATCCTCTTACTTCCAGGAAAGCCGAATTAACAGAGTTTACAGCAAACCATGCATGCATTGCAGTGTATGTCTTCTTATCAGTAACTATATGAAACACCAATCTTTCTGGGATACTTGAGCTTTTAATGGTCGAGGAAACTACAACAGATGCAGCAATGACATTGTCCGTTAAAAGAACTACATGATGGAAGGAAGGGTCAATGAGGTGGGAAATATATTGGGGTGAAGGCAAGCGAGAACGTGCAGCAGCATTTTCAGCATATTCTTCAGCTAACTTGAGGGATAGGCAATGTATGCCCTTTGGTACACCGTGAGAAGCTAAGTGCCAAAAAATAGACTCACTTTGCCTTGCTGATTCTACCATTTGCTCCATCTTCATTATCTAAACAAAGGAAAGAACCATAAACTTAATTCAAAAGTTAATAACAATAAAACAGATGTACTCTGTAGTCAATAAATATGCAAGGAGTTAAAAAAAGAAGTCATGTCACTTAAAGTTAATAAACTTACTGTTATTTCCAAAATGTCACTTTAAAGTTCAGTATAGAGTAATTCTTGAAATGTACACCTGATATTGAAACCAAAAATATGCAATCTAACTGTCGACAAACATGCCCTGTTGGCACATGAGACTATGCCATGCAGGGAATTTTGGAGATCCTCCCTCAGGTTGGTATGTTATGGCTGATGATCATATGGTGTAGGTTTCCCTTGGTATTATGCTGTTAGAAATAAGTTTCGATACTGCAACTGCAGCACCAGAATGGAGTTTTTCTAACATCTTAAAATAATGGAATCGTTCAAATGGTATTAGAGAGGAGCCTAAACGCAATTTGATTTCAGGTTGATGACAAATTCGTCTCTTTGATTTCCTCTATTAGTCCTATAAATCAGTGAATATTGCTTGCAAGGCATCATGGTGCGGACTCCATCTGTCCATCAGAAATTGACTCTATTTCTGGTTCAATATACTTAATCCATTACAAAAAAACAGGCTCAGACAGTTTTGGGTCCAAACAGCCGGCAATCTTCTAGAAAGATTCCTATTCTTTCACAGGTAAAGAAAGCCTTGGAATTCTCATTTCAAATTCAGCTTCAAGATATATACTCGGGGTAACCAGGCCTTGAATATATGTAATTTGATTAAATTAAGTTACTGTGGTAACATGTAGCTGAATCTACATAAACAATGAAATCTTGAAATTTGGCTTTAATTGAAGATGGAAAGCAGTATCTATGTGAAGTTAAATTCCCCTTCCAGGATGGTGGAAAGCAGTATCTATGTGTGAAGTTCTCATCTATGTGAAATATTTTCGTTGCAGAATCTAATCAACTTTTAAAATTCTTTAGACAAATAGAACTAGCTATAGTAAAAGAACAAATCACTACATAAAAGAAAATAAGCAGCGTCTTCATTGTGTAACCATAAAAATATTTTATGAAGGTGCTTGTGCTAGCTTACACACACCTCAACTATTCCATCAAAACATAGGCCAATAGGAAGAACTCGGAGTAGTATTTTTTGCCTTTCACTAGGATTTAAACCTGAAACATCATGGTTCTCCTCCCATTTCATTGACCATTAAAACACCGCCTTAGGTATTGCCTAGTCATGACTAAGAGATTCTAATGTTAATCTTCTTTCAATCTCATAATAATCTGCTTACTTTTCGTGGCTTGAAAGATAATATCTACTCCTGTTAGTAATTTGAGAATTTTACATTACTGTTAGAAATAATTTAATTGCTTAATATAGCTGTCTTACAAAGTTATAACTACTGAGCATTTGCAATAAATGATTGACATTCCCACTTATTATAGGTAGGTAAAATAATTTCTTTTACACGGAGCACCAACAAGTGGGTCCATTACGCATTCCAAAACAGAAATACGCACCAATGCTTGAGTGATGGAGCATCACAGACCAGCTGTCTGATTATTCATGTGACTAAGTGGCCTAGTTGTGCTTTTTCTAATTCAAGATTCTCAAACCAAAGAGGAAGTGATAAAATTTGAAAAAATTATTCTCAGCTAAATAATAGTAGAAACTAAAAGACAAGTTAGGTATATGATAATTTATAATATAACTGCAACTCATAAATAAGAGAACCTAAATAGCTGGCGTGTATGATTGATTGTGTATAATTATTGTATACTAAATAAAAAAAAATAAACAGTCAGACTATTTGTGTGAAGATCTCTGCAAGAATGATAAAATGAAAAGCACAGTACAGTGAAGTAAAGGGGTTGCTTGTTACCATAGCTTTAGTTTTGAAAGCGAAAGCCTTGATGTCTTGTCCATTTGAAGTCATGTCCTTCACAAGATCATTGAATGAGGATGGTAATGAAGTTGAGCTCCTCTCTATTCCATTGTCACCATCATTTGTTGCCTCCAACAATGCCCGCATCAACTCTTCTCTGAGCTTTTTCACCGTATGGTTAAAAAGGAAGAAAAGTTAGCATCAGAAATAGTAACAATAAATACTGAGAATCTGTTAATCAAAACTTCATATTAGGAAAAACTTAAACCATGTATGATATTTACATCTATGTTTATTTTAGACCACA